TTGCTCACGCGGCACCCACTTTACCTAGCTTCTTATACCAAAATATTCGTATAAATAATATAATATACACATTCAGCTGATATCTTTTGAGTACCTGCTTTCTARAAAATAACCCCACTTTAGTTCAACTCTAATTATTTTGTGGACTTTTTGATGTTTTCGTAGGTAAGAACCTGTTTCGCCTGAAGTATAAAAATCCTTGATRGTTGATTTTCTTTCCCAGCTTTTGCTTCAACTGTATTAAAGTGTTTGAACCTCATATTTTTCCCGGATAATTCGTACTTAACGAGGGAATCTCATTTACCAAAAAAACAAAAATATTAACTTCTTAATGTCGCGTTCAATAGTGCGTGTTAAAAGCATACTTATTTGTGGACACAAGCGTATCGGCTTCAAAAAAATTTATTGCTACCAAATGTTGCACAATAATAAGAAAGCGTGTTTTGCCGTTCAATTAGCAACGCTTTGTGAAAAATTTCCATACTATCAAATTATAGAAGTTGTTGTTGTTTTGGGAACAAAAAACGAACTCAAATGTGACGAAATGAATCGAAACTAAATAGGGTGGGTGTGGCGGCTCTTGGTGAGCGTCGATTAAACCGACTACTGGGTGGGAGTGTCAGATGTAGATTTCAACTACCAACAACCAAACAATGTTACACGCCTGTGTATATATATACATACATATATATGACATGCGATACTGCCAAAAATGTATGCGATGCGAGCGGCGCGTGCGCAACGGTCAATGCACCCGACCGACGAAGCATTTAAGGGAAAAAAAAATTCAAATAGCAATGAATAAAAACGTAAGAGCAACACAAATTCCTACACATAAAAATGTAGTGGCAACATTTGTGAATTTTTATAAGCTTTAGCAGCGTTGTTGTCGTTGTAGTCATCCACGCCCGCCGCCAGCTCCGCAAATTGGTTTTTGCGTCAGCGGCAATTTCGGCGGAAACTGAAAGTAATCGAGAGAGATTAGCCAGTTGTGACTGTCATTTTTAATTGGACTTGGTGATAGTGGAAATTAAAAACCCAAAAGAGACCAACAGCAATTTATATGAGCTTAGCACCGTTAATTTATGTGGCAGTTAAAATCGTTTATAGGCCGCCTCGGGTGGTGCAAGCTCCAAACTATGCTCACATACATGCATGCATACGAACATGTGCCCAGTTGTGTGGCAGCTCAAATTACACATAAAGCAGGTCATAAATTTTCGAATTAAAGGAATTTAAATTTAATTTTCACAGTCATTACATGTGCGGCAAGATATTCAGAAAAATGTAGTCATTTTTATACATTTGCAGTTATAAATATGCAGCTTATTAAGTAGTTTCACGCACGGCTAGGAATATGGAATTGGGTGGCTGCTGACGGAGTAGAGAAATTTAGTATGTGTGTGTGTTTTTTTTTATATCGCATAAAGGTAAAATTGTGTAATGGGGTAAGGAAATTATTTTTTTGGTTTCGTGCAACATTTTATATCCTTTTCTCAACKATAAAACCAATTCCAAACATATTTCCGACGAATCGCGCTTTAGTCGAAAAAGGTGAGTTTTGTATAAGATAAATTAGGCATTTAATAAAAAAATATATATAAGTATAAATATTAAAAAATAAGTTGAAATTAGAAATACGAAAAGTGCTTTGATCTCACGCAGCTGTCATTTTCAATAAGTTACATTGAAATATTTTACTAATTTTATATAAARTATTTTATAATTTACACAACTGCAATAGCGTAATTCCAATGACCTTTGCGAAAATTATGTACGATTGAGTAAAAGAATGAAAAAATTTTGAAAAATGCATTTGCCAAGCGCTTACAAGCCGGAGTATTTTAAGAGCTTCTACAACCACATACACACAATCACGGATACTTGAACACTCTCCCATAAAAATTAGCGCGGACATAACTTTTTCCCACATTTAATACATTTGTATGCATATATTTAATTATCTTGTTGATTGATGTGGCGYCGCATCGCAACGGCCCCCGCGTCTTGGCACAAGCATGTCTCYCCCTGCCGCCGTCTTTATCACCACAATTTGGCTTGCAACAGACGGCATTCGTACATGGAATTGGCGCCGAGATCTCGCCTTATGACAAACGACAGTGCGCTCGTAATACTCGCAAGCATCAGTAGCCGAGCACAACAATTAATAAATTTAATATATGATGAACGCTGAGAACAAGAAAAGGCGGAATGAGCGCTGGCGCGTTGATGCTGTGGCAATTATCAAAWTTCTTAAAACCATCTTTTCCGTTGTCTTTCTTTTGCTGCCTTTCCCGCCTTTCTCCACTGAGGCGCACAGCATGCGATTAACCATTTTAAATACCATCCATCAATGTGTTTAAACGAGCATTTCGTAATTGCTGGCGGTGAGGCGGCTTTGACGGAAGGCCGCTTTTGGCGTTGCCATGTTGTTTGAAGTTGGCGCCGTTGCGGCTGAGTGAATTCGTAGTRTGTGAAATGCGATATGCCCACTGAAGAGGTTGTTTTGGGGCGATATGTCAAAATGTTTGCTTTTTTGGCGAAAAGTAAAAAAAAAAAAAATTTTAAATGATATTCAAATGAATTTAATGAACTTTGTAATAAATATATTTGCCATGATTGATTAGCTTTTAGGATTATGAATAACGAGCAATTCATATGAGAAATATATCCACAAAAGAGTTTATCTGCTTCACTCTAATCACAAAGTCGTAACTTCGAATGTAGTGCAGATCAGTTGGATTCAATGAAACGACTTCTAGGGTATTCCAGCGAACTATTCTGGAAAAATTTATCCAATCGTGGCCGGTGAGTTTTAGCAGAATTTATGAGTTTAATTCCGACACTATTATTCTTTGGATGAAAACTAAATGCCCATCAATTTCGTAACCTTTACTCTCGGTTATTGGGAAAGTATGATACTAGAAGCTGCAGTTATTAAAAAAAGAGACGAAGTATTACTATTTTACAGATACGCTTGGCTACAACTTCGCTTCTTTCGTTGAACAAGAATCTCTACACGTCTAGAGCGACTCTAAAATAAGTGAAAATACGAAAATTTATTATTTTATTTTGAACCAATAGTAAGCAAATATGCTTATATACTCATGTATGTAAATATTGTTGGCAAYTAGTAAACTTTCTATTTTATCATCTTTATACATACATATGTATATTATCGCTGTAACCAACGAGACTTAAAATAAAAAATCACTTTTTCGTTGAAAAGAAAATTATTGTAAAATTAAAAAAATTTAAAAAAAAAACCAAAAACAAAACAAAAAAGGTTTGATGATAGTGAGTGTGTAAGAAACAACCCACAGTGGGACAAAATAAATAGAATACGAGAAATTTGTGTTCGTTTTCATAAATTTTGGTCGTATACATATACAACCAAATATACATATTTATTATTTCACTAAATCACTTTACAAATGTGAATTTTTTATATAATTCTCCATTGAATATGTTGTGATTCTTCAAACCATCAATTCCTTTACAGAAATATGTGTGTGGACAATAATGAGCAACAGGCTACTAAAGCGACCACTAATTGTTAGTCCGAATCAATAGGCCACATACATATAAAAATCAAACAAATCATGATAAACTCATTTGAGTACATACAAATATTTTGCCAGCTATCTACACATATATCAGATCGTCACTAGTATAATATATGCATCAGCACTTGATTAAAAGAAAAGAGAAAAATAAAAGCGGAAATCTGTTGTAGTCTCGTAAGACATTTCGAGCAGTCTTCTCAGCCTTGGTAGAAAACTTGGCACTCATCGAGAGTGGACAGTTTCACGTATGTCTATCCTATAAATATCTTGTATACGTTATACATACATATACGCATTACTCAAAGAGCACTTATAGGTGACTATGTATCGCGACTAGTAGTTTAATACATAAATGTGTATATAAAAATAATAMATATTTTGGGATTTCAAAGATATCTCAGTATGTAAAGTGAAAAGCGTCTGTCTAACTCAGCTTTTATATTTGCCAGGCGACGATTTCTCACTCACGTTTTTATTAAGTGGAATTTCTTCGCTACAGATTTATTTTCATCCCGACCATAATTTAGTGGTCCCATTCAGGCATAACTAAGCCGTGAAGTGATGTCAGCGAGGTCTTTGATATTAACAAGCAAATATGTATGTATACATACTTACGTACATGCACATTTCTTTCAGAGTTTCTTAATGTTGTTGTTTGGCGTGTCTAGTGATGGAAGGTCTTGAAGACTACTTAAGAATTGAGTACAGTGGGATTTCTATTATCCCATTTGGTAGCGAAATTCCATTGTCATACAGCTATTACCTCGTAATTGAAATTTGCATCAATATCATATCAAGAGATATGATACAGTCATGGAAACTAAACATTTTTGCTTTAAAATCAACATTTATTCTAAATTGATTTAGTTCAAAGATATAACAATTATTGGTACTAAAATCTAGCTAAGTGGGTCTGAATTCGTTGGGGCTTTCCTTAAGATATATCAAATATTTCAGTAGTGGCTGTTATAAGCGCCATGATGATATGCCTGGGGATGATAGGCATGACCGATTTTCTTGACAACAGCGTTGAAGCCGTTGTGATCATCGGCGGTGTACTCCACAACGCGTGTGGTGCCGTCAGCTTCCTCTAAGGTATATCCTCCTAGAGGTCAGAATAAGGTAAAATAATTCGGCTGAAATATGTATATATTGTAAAAGCAACTTACCCTTGACATGATCACCGTCACGGTGCTCCCATTGGCTCTTGTGATCACC